CTTTTAACAATGTGGGAGTGTCTCTTGCTGAAAAGACAGGAAGCTGGGGAGTATCTGCAGTCTGGATGTGACATTGTCCTCAGGTTCGTCACATCTCTGATGATCTTCATTGGATGTACTGGACTGGCGAGTGCTTTCTACACCATCCCATCTGCTGCAGAATGTTGCTTGATAAGGTTTAAGTTTAATTTTCAGAGTTGCTGTTTGAACCAAGATTATTGGTATGAAGCATTCAGTATATTGATTTTTTTTCTTTGTACATTAGGTAAAGGAACATTTATTTCTAAGAGAGGAAATGGCTGTGTTAACTACTGTAATGGCTTCCTTCACCATTGGGAATTTGCCATTATTAGAAACCACTAATTATGACTTGAGTCCGTTACAGCATAACAAAGACATGAAGCATTACTGTAGTTGGTAGGGAATATAAATTGCGTATCATTTTACTTTCATTATAGGAATCTATCTTGAAATGTCCTGTGACTGTGTGATGTCATGATGGGTCGAAAATCTGGGACATAAGGATGTATAGTGGCACAGTAGTAAAGAATCAGGCTGCCAGGCATGATACTCACACTTGCAATCCCAATTTATAATCCCAGTACTCTTGAGACAGATGCAGGAAGATTGCTGTGAATTTGAGGCTAGCCTGAGCTACAGAATAAAAACCTATCATTTTAGAAAAAAAGAAAGAAAAAGAAAAAAGAAACAAAAAGATTTTTTAAAAAGACAAAATAAAATGCAGAAGCAGAAAGCAAAGTAGTGATTATCAGGGGGGGTGAGAAGACAAGAAAGGTGTTGGTCAAAAGATACCAAATTTCGGTTCTCACAGGAATGATCTAGAGATTATTTTACTACCTTGATGGTGACTATAATCCACAATAGTCTATGGTACTCTTAAAATTCATTGAAGACAGGCTTAAGGGGTGTTACTCCCATTGCCCTAAAAAATAGGTATCTGAGGTAATGCTTATATTAACAAGTTCAATGTTTTTATTTTACTATGTATACATTTGTATATGTGTGTGTTTATGGGGTACATGTCTGTATGTGCACTTGTGTGTGCTAAGGTTCTGGATCCTAAGTTACATCTTCATGCTTGGATAGCAAGCACTTTTTTTTTAATTAAATTTATTTATTTATTTTACATCCTGACCATAGTTTCTCCTCCCTCTTCTCTTCCCATTCCCTCCTCTTACTTCCCCTATCCCCACTCCCTTCCACTCCTCCTATTTCTGTTCAGAAAGGGGCAGGCCTCCCATGGGTATCAACAAAACATGGCATATCAAGTTGCAGTAAGACTAAGCACCTCCCCTTGTATTAAGGCTGGGCAAGACAACTCAGTATGAAGAATAGGGTCCTAAAAGCCAGCCAAAGCATTAGAGACAGCCCCTGCTCCCACTATTAGGAGTTCCACAAGTAGACCAAGCTACACAACTGTCACATACATGTAGAGGGCCTAGATTGGTCCCATGCAGGTTCCCTAGTTGTCAGTTAAGACTCTGTGAGTCCCTATGAGTTGTTTCTATGGGTTTTCTTGTGATGTCCTTGACCACTCTGGCTCATACAATCCTTCCTCCTTCTCTTAAGCTCATTCTGATGTTTGGCTGTGGGTCTCTACATCTGTTTCCATCAGTTACTGCATGAAGGCTCTCTGATGACAATTGGGGTAGTCACCAATCTATGCATACAGCAGAATATTGATAGGCATCATTACATTGACTTTTTTTTCTCCAATCATGTTTGGAGATTGGGCCATCCAGCCTCTGGGTCCTGGTGCTCCAGGCAGTGTCAGGGGTGGGCTCACTCTTGTGGCATGAGTCTCAAGTTGGACCAGTCATTGGTTGACTACTCCCACAGTTTCTGTACCACCCTTTTCCCTGCACCTCCCATAGACAGGAGGGACTGTAGGTCAAAGGTTGTGTGGCTGGATTGGTGTCTCAGTCCCTCTACTGAAAGTCTTCCGGGTCAGTGGAGATGGCCAGTTCAGATTCTGTACCTATTGTCAGTAAGTACTTCACTGAACCATCTTCCCAGCCTTGTATACATAAACACATCATATACACACTATACGTATATACAACATTTGTCATTTAATAATAAATTTACAGCATAGTTCACATCATCTCTCATCATAGATCATGGATAAATGTCAGCGCTTTCATTAAAACAACTATAGAATATTAGACATGCAATAAACAGCTCATGGCCTTTTACTAAAAATAAATAAGAGTTGGAGGCAGGAGTCATGCTGGCTGGGCATCACAAAGCTCCAGTGTTTACAAGTCTTGTGATCTGTTAGCACAGTGCCTGGCTGCCGTGCACCATGATTCCTTCGTCCTTAGGAAGGCCAGGATAACAAATAAACCTGCAGAGTCACTGTGAAGCTCAATGCTTTAATGCGTGCCAGGTGCTCCTGGTGGGTCAACTCCTTCGTCCTTAGGCCCTGGTTTGTTGTTTTTGTCATATTTCTGGTTCTCCCATGTCAGGAACTTACCTTTGAAACGAAAAGGCTGCCCTAATGCCACATGCTCTCTGTTTGGTTTCTGCAGTTAGGTAACAAATTAAAGGTATTAGCGTAAGACAATAATTGTTGGTTGTTTTTGCTCCTTTGGGGAGCCTGCCACCCAGCTCCCAAATAAATCACACACAGAGGCTTATTCTTATTTATAAATGCCTGATCTTAACTTGGCTCCTTGCTAGCCAGCTTTCCTTAACTTTAAATTATCCCATCTACCTTTTGCCTCTGGGCTTTCCCTTTTCTTACTTCTGTAAATCTTACTTTCACTCTTACTCCATGGCTGCCTGGCCCCAGGCATTCTTCTCTCCTTGTTCTCCTGCTCTTTCTTCTTCTTCTCTCAGATTTCTCCTTCTGTTTATCCTCTCTGCCTGCCAGCCCCACCTATCCTTTCTACTGCCTTGCTATTGGCTGCTCAGCTCTTTATTAGGCCATCAGGTGTTTTAGACAGGCAAAGTAGCACAGCTTCACAGAGTTAAACAAATGCAACATAAAAGAATGTAACACATCTTTGCATCATTAAGCAAATGTTCCATAGCATAAACAGATGTAACACACCTTAAAATAATATTCCACAACATATGATGACTATCAAACTAGTCAAATTCAGTTGTCAAGTGAAAACTCCTTAATCATAAAATAAATGATTTGAAGGGACAGTCATACACCACATGATGTCACAAGCTGTTTCGGTATGTGTAAGGACACTATACACTTGCCACACGAAGTCATGCACCCTAGGCGTGTATTTATTAGCTTAGATCCCCATCCATAAACAATGTATAACTATATTTCTAAAGCAGAGTTAGTTTTTTAAAAATAATTTTCGGTTAGTAGTAGCCAAAGAACTTTCTAGTTTTACTTCCTAAAATATTCAGAACGTATAATGCGAACAATTGCCCTTTAATTTATAGTTTAATTCTGTATAGCCTTATTAGACTTAAATTAACCTAATCCCAGAGGGGCCCAGAAACATAAGTGACTGTAAAATGTTATGGATTCTAAATTAGGCAGATTGGAAGATAAAGGTGAAGACTAACTGTTTACATTTCCTGCTGAATTCTGGCAGTCCAATGAGAGAGAGAAAAAAAAAACAGGGATGATAACTTTGACTCCAGACATGGAATTTGCTATTTGTGTCTTAGCTAATATATATATAATGTATTATAAAATACATTATAATATGTTTGTAAATGACGTTTCATTTCTTTGAACACCCTTTTGTCAGCATCAGTCCAATAAACCTCACAACGAAAGCAATTGAAAGAACTATTCCTTTACAAGTTAAATGCAGGTTCTTGTCTTTTTCATTCGGGGTTGAAAATGTCAGGGCAGTGGATCTGGCTATGATCAGACCCCTTAATCCTGTTTTAATTATGGGTTCTTTGCTACTTCTGATTTTATATGGGTTTGAGACTGACACATAGACAGTCGTGACGATGTTTTAAATACACAATTTTACAGAGGAGTCACCTCAAAGTGACCTTAAGATGAGACTCTCTAGACATAATTACAGAGAGGAAGTAACTGCTGGCCTAGAATGAGTGGATGGTTTTCAGGAATATCTCATTTTCAAATTTTCCAGCTAAGCACTCTGGCACTTCCACATTCCTGCAAGCTTGAAGAGGGGCAGGAGAGACAGTTATGCAATTATCACATGCACAGCGCGTGCTGATTCTCATGCCCGTATATCTGAAAACCCTCTGTACCAAATATGACTAACCACATACTTCTCCCAGGAGAGCTGGCCCATAAACTGCCTTTTGCCACCACACTCTGTCTGTTTGCAGACTAGTTTGCTAGTGGGTAGGTGTCATTTGTCAGAGAGGACATGAATATTTATTATGCATAATTACTTTTTATTGCAGTCTAAGAACCTATTTATTTTTAGGGGCCTCTGCTAGACAATGATATAAGCTTACAGATTGATTTTTGATAAGATGAAATTGAATTCAATGATAGCCATTAAAAATGTTTCTCTAACTTTAAAATGAAAATTTCCCTGTGCTTTGTGTCCTATTGCTAATCTTCACCAATACTATGGTTTTCATAAATGATATGTTTTAAATTATGTAAGTGTAATATTTCTCCAAACTTTTCACAGTGTTCCATATATTAAGCTCTGCATCTTCATCTGTAAGATGAATGATCTCTAGGAACCTACTGAAACCTGACATTCACTGAGTTTAACATCCAGCCTATACCATTATTTTAAATATCCTACCAAGATTCCAAATGTCTACAAAATGTTAAAAGTTGTACAACCTCACCTCACAAGGTGGCTGTTTTTCTCAACCATCACCAAATTCTATCCCCAGAGAGCACTTCGATGTGTGGTAGATAATGGTGGTAGCATCTTACACACAGAGAGAGAGGTAACTGCCAGAGGTCCAGCCATCCTGTCTTGCCAACTGCATCTGCTTCAGGTCATCTGAGAAGGATCAACTGATAATCAACCCTCTTCTCTCACTCTTCCCAACAGAAAGGAGAACCTGACTGCTATGCACTCTCCCTAGAGACAAGTGAGCAGCTCACCTTGGAGATCCCCCTGAATGATTCCGGTTCCGCTGGCCTTGGGGTTAGCTTGAAAGGGAATAAATCTCGAGAAACTGGAACTGACTTGGGGATTTTTATCAAATCTATCATCCATGGAGGTGCTGCTTTCAAGGTAAGGATGTGGTGTTTGCCTGGGTTCTGGTACTTGGGGATGTAGTTGTTATGCTTGAAGCCCAGATAGAGACAATCTCTAAAGGATGGGATCCATTGAGGCTTTCCTGCTAGACACTGGAAATGTGTATGAACAGATCTGGGGAGCAGTTCCATGGTTTCATTCTTCCTAAGGTAGTTCTCAAAGCTCATCATGGTCACCATTCTTTTGATTGCTCCATTTAGAGTCCTCCAAATCTATAACCTGGCTGAGTAGCGCCTACAACTATAGAATTTGAAAAACAAAACTAGAAGTGAGTTGACAAGAAAGCAACCTACGAGAGAATTTTGCTTGCAAAAAAAAAAAATGAAAGTTTAATAGGTTCTAAGAATGACTGTAGACTAAAGGTCATTCATCACTCCATGCACCAGAAGATAACTCCAGTGCCCAGAATGTGTATTTGCCTTTAAGCACTTGAGTAAGCTTATACAGTTCCAGAAAGATGGAGACTGTTAGGGCCATACTCTTTCACAGTTTGGTGGGCTGTGAGTCCAAAGCTAGTAACATGCTATCATAGTTAGCTGACTGTTCCAGCACGACCACTCCATGGCGTCCATGTGAAACTGTGGGCAAGGACATTGGCTACTTGTCTCTCATTTTGTTACCTGCAGAACCTAGTCCATAAGGGCCCTGGGGATTAAATAATTCATGAACACAAGAGGCTGAGAGGGGTAAAGTGATCCCAGAACGGGAAAGCAAGTTTGTGGTCCTGGTCACCATCTACTCGTACTGCATAATGAATGATATTCTAGATTTTGAATCCTGCCTTCGTTTCTTTCTTTCTCTGTAAACACAGGCAAATCATTCTTCCAAACTGGCCCTGGTTTCCTCATTTAGGATTTCATAAAGTTTGTTGTGCTTATGTGCTAGTACTATTATTAAGACTAAGACACACTATACATAGAACAGTGGTTCCCAACTCGTGGGCCACAACCCCTTTGGGGGTCCCATATCAGATATCCAGCACATCAGATATTTACACTATGATTTATCAGTAGCAAGATTACAGTTATGAAGTAACAATGGAATAATTTCATAGTTGGAAATCACCACAACATGAGGAACTGTATTAAAGGGTCTCAACAGTAGAAAGGTTGAAAACCGTTGATACAGTCTTTGGCTCAGTGTCTACCAAAGCCTCTAAAGCATGTTAACCATTGCAGATGCTCTTACTGTTGCCCATGTGTGCCTGTTCGCATACCAAAGCAGAGGGGGCCTGCTTAGACTCTGCAGAATAGCCAGGTCTTGTCCTTGCCCTGCTGAACCATTGCCTTCCTATGTCCCCCACTTCTACTGTTCCTTTCATTTAGACTAGTATTAAGCTGATGTCTTCTTTCTTGGAACTTGGGAATTTGCAACTCTTTAATTTATTACCCAGCTCAGTTAGCTTTTGTCACGTGATCAGTGACGTAGTCATAAACGTTCAGCACTTTAGTCAATAAGCTTTTATTTTGCTCATGGCTCTGCCAGGCAGCTCCTGGTGGTGGTGGAGGTTCCGGGGCCGGCTGGGTGTTTTCTGTCACACTGTAGGTCTACAGGCATGACACATCACCTATTCTACCAGCCCTGCGGCAGCAGTCTACCGGATATCAGAGGGCTAGCTGCGATGGGCGATGCCTTATGATGGCCAGACTCTGAAACGGCACACTGTCACACCGCACATACAACACTGGTCAGAGTAGTCGTGAGACTGAATCCAAGGTCATGGATAGAAAATTGTGGTCCTCACAGTGAAACTGGTAGAGGTGTGAGTGTGGGGACTGGCAGAGAAATGAGGTGTAGAGTGAATCTGAAATACCCTCTCATGTGTCTCAAATACTACAACCAGGAACGGAAGGGAAACAGAATGATAATAATGGCAACATCCGTTCTACTTCCTGCTTGGTAGATGCTAGGCACCATGATAAGTATTTAAAATGGATTCTCTAATTTTAGTCTTCATTTTCCCATTTTTATTATGTTATTTTATCAAAAGGGGGACTGCACGTGACAGTGATTTCAAGGCTCTATTGTTATGTGATAATCTGGACTTGCTGACTATAAATTCAGACTCTGTAGCCTGTGCTCCAGTGCTTTAGAGTGAAGACACTGTTCCGAACATCTAACTGTGTACCTGGACACAGGGGCTAGCCCTTGGCTCAGTCTTTTATCATCTTCATCCTTCTTAACAAGCAGTCGACGTGTGCGCTGTGTTTAAGGACAGGTGCTGTTTGTGGACACCTGCTGGATGTTATTCTTCTCATTTCTAATGACAGCTCTTTTGTGAAGAATTTACTCCAAGTAAAGTTGAAAGTGAGATGACTTCTTGGAAATTAAAAGCAAACATCTTTGTTTTTGTTTCTTTTTTTTTTTTTAACAATGGGCAGTAGCTTCAGCTCCAACATATATTGGTGTGTGATTTAATATGCATTTAATACGCATTTGTGGAATCAAGCAGCCCCTTGCCTAAGCAGTCTCTAACAGTCCCATTTCTTACTGAGAGATTTCACTTTCCATTTATGTAAATTTCCTGCCTGACACGGGTCTGCTGAGTCAGACAATCACACCATTGAAAAGCACTGGACAGCATATTTATAGCTGATCTTGAACAGTAAGAGGCATCAATCATGAATTTAGCCTTGTTGTGAATGGTTAGTATCCATTTGTCTTGTTTACCTCTTTCACTGTGAACAGTAGAGCCCTGAGCCTTGTTCACAAGGAATCCGATTAAGGGGAAGGAAATCGTATTTTTCTCTTTTTTCTGCTAGTCCAATAATCCACTGTTACTCCTCAGAAAATTGCCACCTGTTCCATGAATCTGGATTATGTCTTACAAAAATTGTTTGGAGACTTTGTTCCTGTCCTGGTTGAAGAGAAACAAATGTAACAGACTGCATTGTCCCTGGGGCAGGGGAGATGAGCACTGGGACATCCATATTAGCATCTGACCCTAGGATTTTACCTGAAATCAACAAAATATTTTTCCTACTGGAGCCCGATTTTTTTCTCCCAGCCCTTCATACCACTAATTGGTTCTCAAGGTGTTTTTCCCTTTAGGGAAGGTGGATTGTTGAAAACTAAACTACTTTGAAAAGTATGACCAAATTCTTCCTGTGGATTCTGTGTGCTGCATTCTCCTGGGAGCTTCTGATGATATAAACAAAGACAGACTTCCCGCCAGATGTAAAATCTCAGAATGGTTCGGGCTCTGACTGAGGGCCTCCTTCTTGTCTCTCCTCTCACCTACCACGCTACTGCTTTTGAGCCTCTTGTTTCCACTTCGAGTTATTTCTAATCAAAAGGCAAACCTCTGTCTGCTACTAAAAGCATGCAGCTACTCTTGGGTGCTCTTTGGGAAACAAGCAGGAAGTTGAGCTATTCTCAGGGCAAGCTGAATTACAGGTATTCCTTACTCAAAAATTATCCAAATACTTAACTAACTCAGAGCATTGAAGAGACAATGAAAAAAACAACACCCCCAAAAAACTTTGGGGAAAAAGAAAGAATGCCCAGAGACTGAGAAGTGATTGATGACACCCTGATGTCATCTCTGACTTCCCCACACACAGACATGAGTGACATACCCATGCATACCGGAGCACAATCTTTTTGGTGTGTACATACATGCAACACTCCCACACTCACGAAGGAGGAGAAATAACACCCAGAAGTTCTGCTTTTTACAAATCATTCAGTTCCAGGCTGGCATGGTATCTGGCATTCCTTGTAGAGCCTCCTGAAGCATCACTGTTCACATTCTGGCATGGACCACACCAGCACAATGCTACTTCTTGGAGTACTGATGGAGTGTGCTTGGAGTACTTGGAGCATGCTTACACAGTAGCAGGCTTCTACTTTTATTTCAGTTTCTATCATTCTTCCTGGGCGTTCGTCCCCACAGGATAGTGTAATTGCTTATAGGAACCAAATATAAGAGTATGTGTCTGCTTCTCTACAACCAAGAGCTGTGACTAGGATGAAATCAGGATGTCCTTGAAGATGATTTTTTCAAGTTCATTTTTGTGGATGGAATTTCAAGTGAAACGTGCTGTTGTTGCTGTTAAATGGAAAGGCATGTTGTCAGTTTTGCACTTGGAAAAGTATCCCCCTTTTTCCAAATCTGCATTAAACTATCATTTTGTATTTTCTCCAAGGTCACTCAAAGTCTCTATAGTCACGTTGAAGACTTTAGATTTTTAATCATTAGCTCAACATTTTCCAGTACAATGGTTTTGCTTTGCTTTGCTTTTGATGAACTATATTACATAAAATTTAATATATTTTATTATTTATTTATTTTATATTTATTCCTTACACTTAGACTGCTTTTTTTTTTTTTTACTGAAATCACTTTTTAGAAAAGATCCATCTTTTTTTTTTTTTAATTTAGGAAAATTATCAGCACTGGCATAAGCATAAGAAAGAATTCCACACAGTGCATCACACTAGTTTTAGCTAGTACTTTTTTTATATGCTGATGTTAGGAGTAGAATATACCCTATTGAAGCCCTGAAATAATAAGATAAAAATTCAAATTTAAGAGTTTTTTTTTAATTTATTTTAATTTATTTTGCAATACAATTCAGTTCTACATATCAGTCACAGATTCCCTTGTTCTCCCCACTCCCGTGCCCCTCACCTTCCCCCCAACGCCCCCCCCCCCCCATTCCCATCTCCTCCAGGGCAAAGCCTTCCCCACAGACTGAGGTCAACCTGGTAGACTCAGTCCAGGTAGGTCTAGTACCCTCCTCCCAGGCCAAGACAAACAATCCTGCATAGGGCCCAGGTTTCAAACAGCCAACTCATGCAATGAGCACAAGATCTGGTCCCACTGCCTGGATGACTCCCAAACAGATCAAGCCAATCAACTGTCTCACCCATTCGGAGGGCCTGATCCAGTGTGGACCCCTCAGCCATTGGTTCATAGTTCATGTGTTTCCATTCATTTGGCTATTTGTCCCTGTGCTTTATCCAACCTTGGT